GCAGGTGGGAAAGCTCTGGGAATGATTTCAAGATAATAAAATTGATAGAATTACATCATATATTTGAACGGATTTAGAACAGAAGTTTGAGACTGAATACATAGATACCCAGCAAAGGAAAAGATAATTATAAACCTGTAGCAAAACAAATGTGCAGTATGCAATTGTTTTGCTGTAAATAGTATTTTATATAGTCATAATTAAAATGTTGAATTTCTGTCTAATCAAAGTGAAGATTTAACTGTTGGAAGGCTGGGGCGGGAAGTATGCGGGGTAGGAGATGGATGGGAGGGGTGTGTATGTGTTTAAGAACTCAGTCTTCCTCTTGTGTGGTGGGAAGTCAGTGGGTAATGCCTGCAACTTTAAATCCAAGAGAAGGCAACGTAGGAATGTTATTTGGAGACCTATAGGGAAATACTGAATATTAGCTGAAAAGTCTAAATGATCATCTCTATGTAAAAGGAAATAGAGAATGAGGGCAGGGTGGTAGCAAACTGATGTTTTCACAGCAGAAGGTGTAGCACTAATTGGCTGTTTAAGCTTTATTTTTCAAATAAACTTTTAAAGTAAGTTTACATTGAAAAATAAATAATACAGATGCAGTTATACACAACATGGATTGTCAAAAACATGTTAGGTGAAACAAGATCTCCAACTAATCCAGGTTGTTAAAGTCACCGTGGTGGGTGGGTGGGTGGGTGTGTGTGTGTGTGTGTGTGTGTGTGTGGTAGGGCTGGAGGAGGGAGATGGCTGGAAGGGGGCCACAGAAGAGTCCTGGTAATGGTCTGGGTGCTAGTTACTTGGGTGTTTAATCTGGGAAAATTCATCAAGCTGTGAACATTTGTGACTTACATACTTTCTTTAGGTAGGTTGTACTTAATAGAATCTATCCTCCAAACAATACAGGTAATTAAACTTGTAGATTTACATGTTACAATATGTTTACAATAAACATTGTTTACAATAAATGTTTACATTTTATTGTTTTGTATACGTTTATTGTTTACAATAAACGTCATTATTCACGGAGATGTCTGTAACAACTCTACATGTCTTCAAGCCTATGGGAAAATAACGTGCAGACAATTTTATTCATTTGTTACTTTTTAATACTTTCTAGAATAGACTGACAGTGAAGCCCATATTTGGATTTTGAGGATAAATTTTTATGATAATCTCCGGTTATTACTATAAAAAGTAGGGGTTGGCAAACTACAGAGTGGGTTAGATCCTTCCCATTACCTGTTTTGTGTGTCTTTGAGCTTAGGCCAGTTTTTTACATTTTTTAAAGTGTTAAGAAAAAGTGGGAGAGGGGCGCCTGGGTGGCTCAGTCGTTAAGCGTCTGCCTTCGGCTCAGGTCATGATCCCAGGGTCCTGGGATCAAGCCCCACATCGGCTCTCCGCTCAGCGGGGAGCCTGCTTCTCCCTCTCCCACTCCCCCTGCTTGTGTTCCCTCTCTCGCTGTGTCTCTCTCTGTCAAAAAAAAAAAAAAATGTTAAAAAAAAAAAAAAAGTGGGAGAAGGGCACCTGGGTGGCTCAGTTAAGCATCTGCCTTTGGCTGTCATGATCTTCGAGTTCTGGGGTCAGTGGGGAGTCTGCTTCGCCTCTCCCTCTGCCCCTCCTCCTGTTTGTGTTCTAATAAATAAGTAAAATCTTTAAAAAAAAAAATCTTAAAATAAGTAAAATCTAAAGTAAAGTAAGTAAAATCTTTAAAAAAAAAGTCAAAAAAAAAAAAGTGGGAGAAGGAAATGCAAGAGAAATTACATGTGGCCTGCAAAGCCTAAAATACTCTCTGGCTTTTTAAGTTTGCCAACAGTTGTCCTAGAACACAAGAAAATGCCAGTTATCCTGGGAGAAAGCTGCCATGAAAATTCTAACTAGATGCAGTACAGGTTTCAAAACAAAAACAAAAAAACCCAAAAGCGCCAACTTCTGAAAATAGTTAAAGTAGTGTATTTTTTATATTGTAATTTTGGTTAAGGTGGTTAGATCAGTAAAAAGGAGTTTTCAGTCATGGTTAAGCTTGATTTGTTCCTCTCTGTTGCAGGTTGTAGGTGGCCTAGATATCCACAAAAAGATGGTGGTAGATGTGTGACTCTTTTTTAAAGAGTACCACCCAACACTTTTGCTTTCTTCTCCATCTCTGAAGATCTGCTCAAGACGTCCAGCAATGCTCTCTGTGTATTTAAATGGAAGTATTTTTCTCTGTGAAGCCACATTTTCCAACACGAGCCTCATGAAGCCAACTTAAGTGTTATTGAACTCTAATTCTCTCAATAACTCAGTGTAGCACTTTAAAGTCTGAAGGACAGCAACATGAAAAGAGCATATCAATGTGGTGAAGAAAGGGAAGGGGTTGGCTTTTTAATTTATTTTTCTTCATCTTTTATAACAAGAAAGTATCTATATATACATATGTAAATATTTATATATAGATATATGTAGCTTTCTATATGTGTAGTAGGTTGGCTTTAATTTAATCTACTTGATTCAGAAACAAAATGATAGAGTACAAAAGTGCCAAGCAGAACATAAAACATCCTTACTTTTATTTCACACAGTTTTATATATAGATAGAAAATTGTACGATTTGAGCCGGGTGTTAGGCCAGCTTTTTCCTTTTCCTGTGCTTTCTCCTTTGAGAGATTGACAAAGCATTTGTTAACGTCCTATTATTTACCTTAATTACATTTTTTGTAACAAAGGAGTGTGTAATTTTCTTTCTACCTATGGATATATTTCCAGGGACTGTGTCTCATTGCTGAGTAGCTTTTACTACATCTCTGCTTGAGGAGAAAGTGTAGTGCAGTGCTCCTGCCAAGAGCTCATTCTTGTGTTCGTATAGTAACTGCACAGGGCTTGTGGCTGCTTCGTTATTTAACTAGGAGCCAATACATTTAGTAAATGTCCCTGAGTCAATGTAAGTTACCAGTTGTGGAAAGGCCAGAAGCCATCTGAGGCAATCACGATTTTCCTTAGACATTTCTTAGTAATAACCTGAAGGAATCACGTAACTACTTAGGCTGTCCATTCGTTTCAGTATGTAGATAATCATTTTGTCATTAAACTTACCTTTGAACCATAAATTTCCCTTTGTTTCAGAAGGCTTGCAGCTCACCTAAAAAACTGGTGATACTTAATGTGCATGTATGTATCTGAACGCCCACATATATTTGTGATTTAAATGGAAGAAGTCATACTAATCTGTATGCCACGGAAGAAGCAAAATTTTATCCAAATTTATACCTCTTGAATTTCTTTACCACAAGGCGTAGAGAGTGCATGATGGTTTTCTTTCTTGATTTGCCCATATTTGTAATGGATGCTAACTTACTAAATGTGTGATATAAAAGTAGCATATCATGTTCCACCACTTGATATCATCCCTTCCCTTTTCTGCAAAGGTACTATTGGCTGGAAGAAAACATTTTGGTTAGCTTTCTAGGACAGTAGTCTTCCCCGGTATAGTTTTTCTAGAAAAGCAGTTTTATAATCGTAAGTGGAAAAGGGCAGGTCGAATCAAGGTAAATGATCTTAAATTGGGCACACCTGCCTGCCATCGCTGTTCCTTCAACTAAGTGCTGCACATCATGGGCTCTGTCTGTGAGAGAAAAATCCCGGTGCTTGGTGTCCTTGCATGACATGGAGTTTTGCATGTAGATCAATTTAAAATGTACCTCTTGTTTACATAATTTGCATAATTTTAAAAGATAATGTTGCCAAACTTTGGAAATGTTAATGTTCAAACTGAAAATCTCCACTACATGTAACTTTCTTCCTCTGGATCAGTACGTGGCTTATAATCCCAGCCAGTGGTTTGATCTGTTCCAGTGTCAACTGCCATGTGCTCTGCTTCAAGGGGGAACTAGTCTTTTGTGAATTTTTTGTACATAAGTATTTGTTACAAATATTTTAGCAAATGCTTTCTATTTCTCTTGCTTGTGCATATCTTGGCTGGCGTTACAGAAAAATAGTGCAAACATTATTTCCTTACTGGGGAATGAGGTTTTTTTTTTTTTTTTTTTTTCCTTTTTTTTTTTTTTTTTTTAGTGTGGGTGGGGGGGGTTATGTTGAATGTTTAGTTTTTCTTCTGCATGAGATGTCATGTTGTGGGATCTTTAGAAAACTTCCTACTGTATGAATAAGAAAATAAAATATTTGAAACTTGCTTGTGTTCACAATCGTCTTTGGTGAGCTTCCACGGCCATTAGATACTTTTTTTTCCCCCATGGGGTAGTCTTTTCTCCATTCTTCTGGATTTAAAAAATAACGTGATAAATTGATGTTTAATATTTGACTATAAGCCAAAGTAAAGATAAATCTGTTTTATCACTGGTTAAAAACACAAGTCATTACAACAACCTACAAAGCCCTACCTCATCGCTTTACTACTCACCCCTTCCTCTGCTTCCAGCTGCCTTCGCCTCCGTGGTTCCTGGAACTTTGGGCCTGCTTCTGCTGTGGGCCTTTGTACCATCTCCCCCACCAGAGACCCCACCAGCTGATGCTACCAGGTCTGTTCAGGTATGTCCTGGCTCCACAGGGACGACGCTTCTGGCCACCCCACGTAAACATATTCCTACACTTGCGTCTCCCTTACTCCACTCTTCTTCCTCCAGAGCATTTTCCCTCTGCTGACAGAATTTACTTCGGTATTTTGTAGATGTCTTCCCTGGTTATTGAAATAAAATGAAAACTCCACAAGGACAGTGATTTCTTTTTCTGTCCCTTGTCCACCAACAGCCTCAATTGTCTAGAATTCTACCTAGCTTTTAGTGTTTGCTAAGATTAAACACTTAAAGATTAATACTTAAATACTTACCAAATGAGTATTTAAATAGGCAGACACTAGTTAAAACAAGCTCTTGCATTTGCAGAACATTGTGGTTTTCTTGGTAAAAACATTCTTTTACCATATTTCGCCTTCACCCAAACATTGGTAAGGTCTGACTACTTTCACTGAATGCTTATTTGAAAAATAAAATTCTTTTCCTCACATCAACCTTGTGATGTCTTTAATTTTATAAGCTACAAAATAAGTACAAGGATTAGCCTTTGTTCACAACAGTATCTCCAAACCGCTGCTTCTAAAAAGCCTACATACCACCCAGTATTAAGGGTCAGGTTTCAGAGCGATTTTGTGAGCTGATTCTTTTAAATACACTGCATAGACAAGAAATGTTTATAAAAAGTTACAAATTTATAAATTCATACAGGACTGTTTAAACAAGTTTCCCAGTAAGAATTATAAACTATGTAAATCTTTTATTTAAAGTGAAGTGATAAATTATAATTAATGTATAAGTATAATTATGGTACTAAATTCAGATATGGGAATTATCCTCAAGTTGCTGCGTGTGAATATTATCAAACCTTTCTGTTGATGCTTCTGGCTGAGAACAGAAAAGTGATGGAGGCTTAAAGTGACTGAAAAGTTCTCATGGTTTCTTATGACCACATGCAGAGGACAAGGGCTTTTTCTCTAGAGTCCAAAGACAAGATAAAAAGTCTCTGATTTGAAATCAGAATCGATCTGCTGCTCTGCTAGCCACAGCTCGGATATTGCCATAAACCTTTGATGGAGGATTTCCTGCAGAGGAAAATAAACATCATATCTATACAAATAAACTCACATATATAGAAGACACATGGAAAGCAGTCTACAACTCTAAACACATACTCCAGTGGGTCTCTCTTAAATCAACAAAAGAACGATAAACCATACCCAAACATTCTCCAAAAATACTTTAAATACTAAGAGTCAAAGACACCAAATTGTCTAAATATTTCAAAAAGAAGCTGGTCAGATCTGGGCACTGATGGGAAATCCCATTTAGAGCAAGCTGCTACAATCCTGTAACTCGTACCAGAAGTTACTGACTTTGCTGCACAGTTTGAAAATAGGACTGGGGCGCCTGGGTGGCTCAGTTGAGTGTCTGACTCCTGGCTTTGGCTCAGGTCACGATCCCAGGGTTGTCAGATCGAGCCCTGCACTGGGCTCTGCACTCAGTGCAGTCTGCTTAAGATTCTTTCCCTCTGTCCCTCCTCCCACTCGCTCATGCTTGTTTGCTCTCTTTCAAATAAAAACAGGACTAAGTGCATCAATTAAGTTGACTGATGGTGATCAGGAGCTCTCTTTTTGTTGAAACCTAAACCACACTGCCGGCTATTCTGGAATGGCTTCACTGCACCTCTGGGGAAAGCAGCAAAGATTTAAGCAATATAACCCAATAAACCCCTTCTTTTCTCTAGCAAACTGATGAAATTTAAGCAAAAGTAGTATTTTTTTCTTCTTTAGGCCCACATTTGCCAACCACTAAGAGCTTCTACTTGCAATCTTTAACATTATGCTTAACTTGAACTGATATGCAAATGTGGTTTGAGTTCTGAATTCCCTATTTTGTTTCCAGAGAAAACACCCAATGAGTAAATTATTATTACCCAGGATGAGGTTGCAAATGGCAGTTCTTGCCATCTTGATGTTTTGGAAAGAGCCAAGGATGTGAACTTTCCTGCAAGAGAATATGGGACAAGTTAGCAACAAAAGCATTTCCTTAACTGAATCCCATAATCCAGAAACTCTGGAAAATCATGATAGATAGATTCCTAAATAAAGATGGCTGCACAACTCTAAAGACACTAAAAATCACTTTGAAGGGAAATTCTATGGTATTTAGATTATATCCCAATAAAAATTAGAAAAGAAAAAATTTTAAGAAACCAAGAATTTTTTAAGATTCTTGGCTAACAATGGCTACCATCAAGTGAGTGTTTTTTTTTTTTTTTTAAGATTTTTATTTATTTATTTGACAGAGAGAGACACAGCGAGAGCAGGAACACAAGCAGGGGGAGTGGGAGAGGGAGAAGCAGGTCTCCTGCCGAGCAGGGAGCCTGATGTGGGACTCGATCCCAGGACCCTAGGATCATGACCTGAGCCAAAGGCAGACGCTTAACGACTGAGCCACCCAGGCGCCCAAGTGAGTGCTTTTTATGTGCTAGGGCTTTATGTGTTCCCATTTAATCCTCATGTGAGCTTTATTAAGGTGGTATTTCCATTTTATAAATGAGGAAAGAAATTTACAAGAAGTAAAAAAGTCTGCCAAAGATTACACATTGGCAGAGCTGGTATTAAGTATCCAGAAATGCAAGTAACACTGTACTTGATCAAAACATCCGGATTTCAATTGCAAAGCTTTCTAAAGGTCATCTAAATTTTTTCACTACTCAGGATCATCCAGACCCTACTAATAGAAATTCCTGGCTGACAAGATGGACAATAGTATTTTGCCTTTTTGAGCCCATCTTCCAAAATGTCAGTAAACTAACGCCAAAATTGTCAGTGGGAACATCAAGCAGAGCGCTCTCATCCAGACAGGCTCAGCCATTTCTGGAAGTGGGAACAAAAATGACAAAACCTGTTCAAGATGATCCCTAGATTTTCTTCCCCATTCTGTGTAATCAGGCAACCACCCCCCGTAACTGGCAAAATTATGGGAGGGGGAGGCGAGGTGTTGCTCCCTGGGAAAGGAAAAGACATGGTATCTGGACCAGGGCTACCAGGTACAGCTGAAGTAGGAATGTTAAAAACAGGCAATGGGAAGCAAATATCTGCACAATGGATGTTGAGATGTCCAACTATCTTCCATAACCAGGCTTCAAAGTCTGGCAGCAAACAGCCTAGAGAATGCTTCTCAGGGAACCTGACCTGCTCAATAAAAAAGACCAAAGGAGAGGGGTGCCTGGGTGGCTCAGTCGGTTAAGCAGCTGGCTCAGGTCATGATCTCAGGGTCCTGGGATCAAGCCCCACATCGGGCTCTCTGCTCACCGAGAAGTCTGCTTCTCACTCTCCCTCTATACTCTCCCTCTCTCTCTCTCAAATAAATAAAATAAAATCTTAAATAAAAAAAAAAAAGACTAAAAGATACATCAGAAACAGCCTGGCAATCACCCTAAGTGAAGCCTACAGTCAACCAGCATCCCCCCACACTCCAGACCCCATGAGCTCAGGGCTTCTAGTCTGCTCTTTCCTGCCTCACTCATGTACATCTGACACACACAAACACACACACGGTTCCCCAGACTCTGACGAAAGCCTCTACTACAAAAGAAAAAGAGGCTGCAACCAGCAAGGTCAAGAAAGAGAAACAGAGACTACGGGGAGAAAAGAATGAAAACAGCAAAAACAAAATCAAATCAGTAAGGTCAGAAAAGCTATTTTCATGCACCCATGAATCAAGGGCATGATGTTAAGAAAACTAAATACAAGAATTAGAAGATAGAGTTACAGAAAGGAATTATAGAAGGGGGAAAGAAAAGGAAGACCAAAGTAATTCAAGAAAATTTCTGAAAATTGTAGAAAATGAGTTTCTAGTTTGAAAGGGCCCAGTAAGATGAGTAAAAATAGACCCACACTAACACATAGCATTATGAAATTTCAGAACACACTGGATGAAGATACTACCACTGCCAGACAGGACGCTCAAAGAATCAGGTATAAAAATGGTGCTGGACCTCTCAATACCAACACTGAAAGCTATGATAGCAATGTCTTCAAGATTCTGAATGGACGTGATTTATATAACAGAACTGTATAGTAAGCCAGGAGACAGGACACCTTTGGAACTAGAAGTTCTCAAATAATGTTAGCTAGCTAAGCTAGCTCCTGGACCAAATACGGCACCAAAATAAGGAGTACTTGGGGGGCGAGGGTGTGCAAAATGAATAAAGGGGGTCAAACAGCATAAACTTCCAGTTAGAAAAGAAGTCCCAGGAATGTAATGTGCAGCACGTTAAATATCATCAATAATACTGTGCTATATAATGGAAAATTGCTAAGAGTAAACCTTAAAAGTTCCCACACACACAAAAACAAATTTGTAACTGTGGTGATGGATGTTAACCAGATGTACTGTGGTGCTCGTTTTGCACCACATACAGGTATCAAATTAAAAAAGAAAAACAAAAGAACCAAAGGAGTACTCAGGAAAAAGAATCCAACAAACCAAGAGATTCAAACAGCAAAAGGGCAAAGGTGAAAGGAGAACCTAGGATGCCGAATGGGCGCCAGGCAGAGAGCAGCAGTGCTTCTGAGAAAGCAGGCTCCAGGACAGGTTGCTCAAATGTTTGATGCATCTGCATACAACAACATACAGCTTTTTACTGAATTTTACTGATAATCAGAAAGCACAAACATAAATAAGAATTCTTTTTTCCAGTGAAAACAAAGTGGTGAAGGACAGACAGAACAATCACAGTTATCACCTGGCCCAGTGCTGATATCCTGAGCACTGACCCTGCACTCAGGTAACGCTAACACTGGTCTCAGAAAACCCAAAACGTACAGGGGACGTAGGGAGGGGTGAGTAAACTGGATGTCAGAAGGGCTGAGTACATGGGGTGGAAGTGGGGGGAGAGATGAATAAAAGCTAAATTTTCATCTTCCATGGTAGAAAGTCAATGGTGAAGCTGGTATATAAACAAGATATTTGAAAATATGGAGATAAATAATTTCTAAAAATTACCTAAAAGAGTTGAAATTAGTTCCTCTGACAAAGAGGAAATGGTAAGTGGAAGAAGTTTGGGGCTTGCTCAAGTATGTCTAACTTTGATAAAAATCCTTGACAAGAGTGCAGGAAAGATGAGAAAACAGACACTGAGCATACATGAAGTGTGAGTGGTTTTGCTGTCGAAACCACCAAAGTGATGGGGCAGTGGCCGCAATGGTACGGGGGTCTCAGGACATACAGGCAACATTATTTCCCATCTGATGCACTGAATATATATGGAATAGTTTTTAGCTTTTTATCTTGCTCACATCATACTGTATTTTACCAGATTATCAGCAACTCATCAAAAACAACAGTTACGGGTACATACTGGTCCACATTATGGTTATGTCATAATAAATGGACGAACATGTGGATTTCCAGTTAGCCTATTTATACTGAACACTCAAGACAATATACTCAATTTCAAGTAGTATGTAATTCACTTGGAAAAAAAAAAGATATAAAAAGTAATTCAATAATAGCAACATTATTCATAAGAGCCCCAAACTGGACGTTTGGCTCAAACGTCCATCAAATGAGAATGGATAAACAAAATGCAATACCTTACGATAGTACTTGGCGATAAAGAGGAATTACTGACACACCTAAGGAAATGGAGAAACTGAAACAACATGCTAATTAAAAGAAGTCATACTCCAAAGAATGCGTACTGTGTATTTCCATTTATATAAATTTCTAGAAAAGGCACAACCATGACAGAAAGTAGGTCAGTGATTGCCTGGGACTGAGGTGGGATCACAGGAGTAGAGATTTACCCAAAACTCACTGAAAAGGATACTAAATAAGGCAATGTTTTTTGTATATGAATCATACCGCAGTAAAGCTGTTAAAAAAACCAGTTCAACTAGTAAATTTTATGTCAACACTTATCAATATACTTAGAATTTAATACATCACAGCATCTATAATTTGATTAGCACATCATTTACATTTGTAGATTTCTAAATTAACAAAAGTTTTTAGCACTACATATGATACTTTCAAATGTGGTATGCATTTCAAAGTATTTTAAAATGTCTAGTTCAGAACAAGATTTCCTCGTGGCTCCATTCTCCCAAGTCTAGGCTCCCCTCACAAAGATCAAAATTATAGTAAGCCCGTCTTCCAGTAAGAGGGCCATCAACGTGGTAGTACCATTATCCCTCGAGTGTAAAAAGAGTCGAAAATTTAGGTTCTAAAAAATGGTGAGCCCGAGTTTAGAGCCAACATAGCATGATTTTAAATAAAATTATTTCTGGGTTTAGCAGCAGGCAGGTCCCTCCTCCTGTCAGTCATCGGCTTCATTCCCCAACTTCATGGCACATGGTGTTATATAAGTTCGGCGCCATCTGCCAGCAACCACGGCCTGGCCCCACAGCATCTTCAACCCCCGCCACGGCTAATCCCAGTTCCACTTCCAGCACCCTTATTCTAAGCCCTTATCATCTTCTTTCTGTTCGCATAGAACTGCTCTCGAGTTTTTCACCTAAGGTGCAATGCTCATCATCCTTTTATGAAAGGCCTTTATATATAGTTTTAAAATATTTATAGACTCATACACATATATTTCTTTCTTTAAAAGGAAATTCACAGTGGCATTTAAAACACCCACTCCTTGCTCTCTCCTACTGATTTAAGTAGGAGTCCCTTCTGATACTATTTAAATCTTCACCTGTCGGGGCACCTGGGTGGCTCAGTTGTTACACGTCTGCCTTCGGCTCGGGTCATGGTCCCAGGGTCCCGGGATCGAGCTGCGCATCGGGCTCCCTGCTCAGCAGGGAGTCTGCTTCTCCCTCTCTCACTCCCCCTGCTTGTGTTCCCGCTCTTGCTATCAGATAAATAAAATCTTTAAAAAGAAAAATAAAAAATAAATCTTCACCTGTCATGTAACTTCTTTTAATAGTAATTCTAAACATTCCTTTTTTTTTTAAGATTTTATTTACTTGAGAGAGAATGAACACGAAGGGGGGAGGGGCAGAGGGAAAAGCAGGCTCCTGGCTGAGCAGGGAACCCGAGGTGGGACTCGATCCCAGGACCCTGGGACCACGACCTGAGCCAAAGGCAGATAAGCTTAACTGACTAAGCCACCCAGGCATCCCTGAACATGTCCTTTATTGCTGAGAAAAAAGCTAGAATTCCTAAGATTTTCTCAACTAACTTAATCTGCTTTCAAAGTAATTATGTATTTCATCCAGAACCATATACTGACAAAGAGTCAGTGGCAACATTATGCATAAAATACAATCTTTATGACTTCTTGAAACCAGCAAAAGGTCAAATATAAATTACGACAGTAATTTTCTCAAGATCAGATACTTACACATCAGCCAAAACTATCCGTGTCCGTGTCACGTTCTCTATGGTGAATTTGGTTTTTCCTCCTTTGCCAGCGATTCTTCCTATTGCCCTTGACAGGTGGTCTCCCTTTAAGGGCTTTACTAAATGAGAAAATCAAGGCCTCAGGAGGCAATTCCAGCACACCACCCACTCCATAATGAAGTTTAATCACAAACTAAATTTCCCTACTAAAAGATACAAAAAATATATATTTTAAAACCTGCTAATAATACAGGTTAACTGATGCTATTAGAAAGCTAAAAGTCACTTACAATACAAAGTCGACAGTACAAAAGTACAATAGTTAATAGGAAAAGACCACCCTATACTTACCATCTGTAATTTCAAAAGACTCTAGGAAGAGGTCATCCAACCTAATGAGGGCAAGTGCATCCTACAACATAAAAATAAATGCTGTGAAGCCCTTACGTTTAGATACCTGAGAATAACTACTAAGTTAAAATGCACCAGACCTAGAAAATTCAAATTTTTTTTATAAAGCCCAAATCCACAGAAACATTCACGGACCCTGGGATCATGACCTGAGCCGAAGGCAACACTTAACCAACTGAGCCACCCAGGTGCCCCTCATATTAAGTGTTTTTAAGCACCTATTTTAGATGTCATGAAATCACTTACCTCCACCTGAAACCCAAGAATAAAGGCTTTCACAAAATCAGCTGCTTTTGTCAAGGCACTAACATCCTTGGTTTCTTTACAAGTCTGTTAAAAAAAAAAAAGGCACATATTATGACTGGAGATGAAAATACTCTAATACAACACGAGGACTGATGGCCAGCATATACTCGCCATTACTGCTGATGGTTCCCGACGCACTAACTCCAGGACTAACTACCACGGATAGTTTAAGCAGGGATCTTGTCCTTAAAGGCTTTACTAGGTAATTGCAGAAATAGCTACTATTCATAAAATCCCAACCACTAAAAGTGACACGTATCGCAAAGGTGCTTTACACACAACAGCTCTAATCTTCACATCGACCCTGAATTTTTTTTTTAAGATTTTATTTATTTATTTGACCGAGAGAGACAGCGAGAGAGAGGGAACACAAGCAGGGGGAGTGGGAGAGGGAGAAGCAAGCTTCCCACTGAGCAGGGAGCCTGATGCGCGGCTCGATCCCAGGACTCTGGGATCATGACCTGAGCTGAAGGCAGATGCTTAACGACTGAGCCACCCAGGCGCCCCTCGACCCTGAATATTAAGTAATATAAAAACTTTTATATCTGAGAAAACTGAAGTACTGTAAAGTGAAAAAGGCAGAATTCCGACACAGGTCTGATTCCAAAATTGTCATTTCCATTCTCCCACACAGACTCAAATTTAGTTGAGGAGACCACATATTTGACAAATTTCAAACTTCACAAGGTTGTGTAATGCACATATAAAACTAGATCCCAGTTCCAATCCTGTATGTGACTTTGGGCAAGTCCCATAGATGCTCCAGGTCTTTTCTCATTTGTAAAATAAAAAAGTCGGGGGTGGGGTGGGGTCCTTTCAGGACTAACAAGATTCACTTGTTAGTGAATGACTTTGATGACTCTGACTAACCTACTCCTTTGACTCAGTTTCCTCACATCTAAAGGATGGTGATATGACAACTACTTCACAGGCCTGTCTTAAAGATTAAAATGATGTAGTGCACGCCAAAGCACCACTATGTGCCTGGCATCCAGCAGTAGCAACGGGTGTGGGTGGGATGCAAACTGATGCCTCTGCGACACGGAGTAAGACAGCCAAGCACAGTAAGAGTGTAGGCTCCGAAGACATGACTGAAACACAAACCAATCCTAAAGGAGAAAGCACTTGAGCTAGACTCCAAGAGATGACTGGAATTGAGGCCGGAAAAGAAAGAGTATGGAGGAGAGGGCTTTCTTCATATGGCAAAGTCCCCCACAGGTATGGACATAAAAAAGTCAAGAGCTGATGAGATGAACTTGGGACTTAGATTCCTACTTAAAAGCCAAGTTCAGGGGCGCCTGAGCGGCTCAGTCGGTTAAGCAGTTAAAACGTCTGCCTTCGGCTCAGGTCATGATCTCAGGGTCCTGGGACAGCCCCATAGCAGGGAGCCCGTTTCTCCTTCTCCCCGTGACCTCGCGCTTTCACTCTCTCTCAAATAAATAAAAATCTTTAATAAAAAAAAAAGGGGCAAGTTCAGTCAAAAACTGAACTCTTACCCTTCAGAGATTTTGAAGATACCAGAGTACCACAGTGAAAGCAGCGTGGTCCCGGAAAATTAATCTGGCACTGGCAGAGGAAGGACCGGTGAGAGGAGATTTAAAGCAATGAAGCAAGGGAAAGCTCTAAGGAAACAAGACGTTTGGCACAAAACTACAAGAACCTGAACAAAAAGGAGTTCTGCCAAGTTCTATATTTTAAACTTTACCAACTATTTAAAGCAGTGCCCCTCTGCTTTATTCCATTATTCTAGTTCAACAGAGATGAGTCTATACCAGTTCTGATGATGGTATGAGTCCTCAAAATGGAAGATACAATTTTGGTCATTGATTCTGATATAAAACTGGCACCCAGAAAAGGAAGCCCAAAGTCAATTAACATTGTCTAGCTTTTGAACTGACACCATGAAATGAATATATATGTGTGTGCACAGCAAGCACTTTTATTTCCTATTTACATACGTCTCTTTATGACCAGCTCTTTACTCAGCCTTGTCTCATTTCAACACAGAACATCATAAAATACACGCACAGGCATAACCAGTATTTTGGTATGATCTGAGGTCCACCTTATGAATTCAACTAATATTTGTGTTGAATGCAGAATTTGAAGACATTCAAGAAGTTCGAACTCACTATACTATTTTAGAAAACTGTATAACGATAATTTAACAAAACAAGTCCCATTACGGAAAGTCTATTCACTTCTTTTCACCCCTGTAGGAAAGAGAAACCCTAATATATTTGGAAATGGTTGACATTCTCCTTACCCTAATTTCTACATTCCTCGATTTCAAGTTAAACCGTATCTGAAGTCCCAAATGTTCTACAACAGGAGTAAATATCTTCATCCAGTTCTCTTTTAAGGGCGTGTATCTGTTAGCTGGGACTGGAATTTTCCTTGTTTCTTCTTTCCCACCCTACAACAGAAGAACACACAAGTCGGGGGATGTATTGGGATGGAGGTGGAGCTGTAAAATGACAGCTCTTCCACAAGAAGCTTTCTTTAACTGAACGAATTAAACTTCGTTCAGGAGAGTCACTTCTTGAAGGCCGTCACTGAAGAACGGCCCCCGCCCTTTCAACATCACCCAGAGACCACCGGCTTGGCCCACCTTTGGCCCCCGACCCCGTTCCTGTCCCACGGTCCCCGCCAGTACCAGGAATCCATCCCCGGCGAGGGGCGGGAAAACCGGCCTCTTCGCGGGCCGGGCCTCCTCCGTGTCCATGCGGCCTGCGTCCCCGCCGTCCCCCGCCGCGGACAGCGGCTCAGCCTGCCGTTTCTTCGCCCGCCGGCCACCCTTACGGGTGACTTGGGTGAAGCCATCTTCGGCTCCGGCGCTCTGCGATTCCATCTCCGCTTCCATCCCCAAGGATCTCCCGCTCCAACATATGCTTCCGGCTCGAACGCGTGCGCCGCTGCACGGCGCAGGCGCGCCTCGCGGGGTCCAGCGTCCGCCAACCAGCCCCAGGGATCCGCCCCGTTTCCTAAGGAGTCCCACACTGGGGACCTGAAGCAGGGTTTCGTGCGTTTGCTGGGGCGGTAGGGGAGGACATCCTAAAATATGCCTGATTCTATGGTGCCCCTCTGGCTTCGCCACTCACAGCCGAAACAATTGCCATCTCCAATATGTGTATGTACGAAAGGCAGTAGGTAAAGACGATAAGCAAGTTTGTGCTGTCCGTGAAAAAAATCGGGCGTGACTTCAGTAGCGCATCGGGCATTATCTGAGACAACTAAATCCCACTCGCCAGGGCGACGGGGGACGACTACGGCAAGTGTGTGGGGGAAACTGTCGTTTGTTTGGAGTTTGGTTTCCCGGTTAGTGTTTTGTCAGGCTTTGGGTGTACTGGTTGGTGGAGGGGAGATCGGCTGGACTATGTCGGCCTTCGAGAAGCCTCAGATCATCGCCCATATCCAAAAGGGCCTCAACTACACGGTATTTGACTGTAAGTGGGTGCCCTGCAGCGCCAAATTTGTGACCATGGGCAACTTCGCACGGGGCACCGGCGTCATTCAAATGTACGAGATCCAGCACGGGGACCTAAAGCTGCTTCGGGAGGTGGGTGCCGGGCGAGACTGTCCAGTTCCAGGATCTGCCGTTGGTGAGGGGACGAGTGAGGATTCGGGGGTGGGGGGAGTTTGCATTTGTTTTTGCCCCAGCCTTCGTCCAGCGTCCCCCAAAAGCACAGCTCGAGCTGCGCGGAACCAGCGAAGGTGATCGCAGATTGAGGAATACTTCCGACGTAAAACGCTGTGCTTCGAGTCCTGAATTCTCTGCCGGCCAGTTCATCTGTTCCCTGCTGGCCCCTTCCTGCAGCCACCCTTGCATTCCAGCGTGAGGGCCCTGGGAAGTGACATTAAGACTTCGTCTAAATTCGAGGTTCTTCTAGACAGTGGGCAATTGTTTGTGGAGAGTCGCTTTAATTAGGTCTTTGTTAGTAAAATGCTCTTTCATACAAGCAGAGACAAGGCAGGCACCGGGATGCCTGCACTGTAATTGGAGGAGACAACCTAACCATTATTATTTTTTAATATTTTCTTTATTTTTTCATGAGAACAGAGAGGTAGAGGCAGAGGGAGAAGCAGGCTCTCAGCGGAGCAGGGAGCCGGTTGCGGGGCTCCATCCCAGGACCCTGGGATCACCACCTGAGTCAAAGGCAGACGCTTAACGGACTGAGCCACCCAGGCGCCCCTTAACCATTTATTCTTTCAATAAGTTATTGAGTTGATTGCCTGGTATTCCCAGGCATGTGAATTACAATGTCTCCGGTCTCATGGGGTTTATTTTCTAGTGGGAGAGAGAATCCGTTAAATAATCAACCGACGATGCATAAATACAAACCGAGATGAATTCCCTAATATACTCTCACGGTTCTGTGAGAGTAAAAACAGATTTGGGATGAGTAGAAGCTAACTAGGCTAAAGTAGGAGTAGAGGAGGAGGTTTCCAGAGGAAACAGCGTCAGTGGAATCTTGGGAAGGGGAGCAGACTTTGCAAGGTTTGTAGGTCATTTAAAAGATCTACCCCTTTTTAAATGGTACATCACTGGACTTTTAGCTGGGTGTGCCAAGATCAAGTTCACAAGTTTTGTGATGATCATTAGGGAATGACTTAGAGAATAATGATTTTTTAAAAAGATTTTATTTATTTGACAGGGAGAGAGAGAGAGAGAGCACAAGCAGGGGGAGCAGCAGAGGGAGAGGGAGAAGCAGGCTCTCAGCTGAGCAGGGAGCCTGACGCGGGGCTCGATCCCAGAACCCTGGGATCATGACCTGAGCCGAAGGCAGATGCTTAACGGACTGAGCCACCCAGGTGCCCTAGAGAATAATGATGTTAACTAACATTCTTACACTTGTTTTTAAAATGCGTTGATTTGGGGTGATCAGCCATAATCAAGTATTTAGGGTTGTAATAGACTACAGGGAAGGCTCCAGGGATTAAAAACTATGGAGAGAGTCTGCTTGGACGAGATAGGCATTAAACTGGTAGGTAAAGGATGAATACAGTTTGGACAGGCAAGCTTGGGTGGGAAGGTATATAAGATCCCATCTCACTTTAAATTTCTGTGAGTGCCAGTTTTCTTGTTCAGTTTGTCTTTTCCAGCCAGGTACTCAGAGTTCCTAAACTTGGCTTATTCTTTTCTACCTTGCCTTCTGTTGCTCACCAGTTAGCCCACAGGTACCTGTTGCTATTTTAGGGTCTAGTTCAGATTATTTGATTTAGGAAATCCTGTCCTGATCCCCACACAAACTTCTTTACACTGCATTCCACTGGTAATTATTATTTGCTCCAGAAATACATAATTGTGTCCCATTTATCTCTAATTAGATTGTAAGCTCCTGGAGAGTAAGGATAGTGTCTATCATTAGTGTGGTTTGTAAGGTTCAGCCACTCAATAAATTACTTGTTAAAAGAATGAGTGAATGTATATCTGTAAAAGGATGTAACTTGGGAAATTTAAATATTGATTTATTGATCATTAATCAGCTGGCCTCAGGGTTTGAACAAATGGGAGACATTGGAATAGCAGACAGAAACTTATAGGTAAAGTATTAGGAACAAATACCAAATACCATCAAATTTCACCAGAGAGCATTTACCCCTTGGGACTTTTTAAAAATAAAATATAATTTGTGTACATTTCAGGAATACACTTGTTCCACAAAGTGAAATAGTGCCCTTTGTCTCTATCTATTGGCAACCTCCTATTTCAAGATACTATGTGAAAGAAGGACCAAAGATTCTTGAAAGATGAGTCCCTTCTTCTAAAGAGCCTCCTGTCTAAAGAGAGGGTTAAACTAATGCAAAAACACTTTTTTTTTTTTAAAGATTTTATTTATTTATTCATGAGAGACAGAGAGAGAGAGAGAGAGAGAGAGAGAGAGAGAGGGAGAGGCAGAGGGAGAAGCAGGCTCCCAAGGAGCAGGGAGCCTGATGCGGGACTCGATCCCAGGACCCTGGGATCATGACCTGAGCCGAAGGCAGACGCTTAACCATCTGAGCCACCCAGGCGCCCATGCAAAAACACTTTTAAGAACTTAGATCGAGTGTGGCTGAGATGGTGCGATGGAAAAGGCTATGGGTGTGATCCAGGCTCAGTGATGCGCCACCCTTACTGTGTGTGCATCGGGATCAGCTGAGTATGTTCTGTTGCTGCTGCTGCTGCTGCTGTTGTTGTGTGTAGGTGTGTTTTAAAATATTCATGCCTTGGTCCCACCTTAAGGAATTCTGATGCAGTGGGACTCTTGCATCTACACTAGAGTGAGGCGTGGGTATCAGTATTTTTAAATAAAACTTCAACTAGGTGATTCTAACAAGCACCAGTGTTGACTACCATTGGGCTACATGAATTATTGAAATCCTTGATTCTTCATTGTGGAACCACCTCAAGTCATGTGTTCCAAAGCCCATGCATTCCAAGGTAAAAATGTGTGAAGGTTGCAAATGGGTCTTCATTGATGGCTGCCTTCTCTTGTTACCAAGGACAGATAGGGAGTGAGGGCCTTCATATACAGTTGAGTAGTTTGTTCCATCACACGCGGGGTGCAGAGTTCGAAGGAAAGCTGAAGTCTATTTCTTTCTCATCAAACTTTATAAGTGTGAGACTTCCTCATTCTATAAAGAGCAGCTTTTCTCTAATTGGCACAAAGGACTAGGGGTGGCCCTGAAAAATGGAATCATAGTTGTGGACGTTTATACTGTAAAAATTAATAATAAGCTAATAAAGTTCTGCTTTTTTAGCTCCTGTGTCACTGAGTTCACTGCTTGTTACCATTTGGTTGACTAACCCTTTTAATGTTAATTAAAGTAGTGCCAGGATGTGGAGGAGGAAATACTGACAAGCTGTACTAGACCCACCCACAGATAGAACAAGAATAGTTCTCATGGGAATTATCCATCATGGGCTTCCTTAATCATGTTCACTTATTGTAGCAAAGAGAACCAACAACTAGGTCAAAAATGACCATCTATGATGTGTAATACAGCAAAAGTTATTAATATATACCAATTTTCTTTGTGGAACACATTTTGTAAAATCTTTTTAGCCAGTTTTTTTTTTTTTTTCCTAGCAAGAAAAATTTAAGTAACCCCTGGATTTTTTAAATCTTTCTTTTCAAAGGTAAAATATTTAGCCAAAGGAGGGAGGGAGCCTTTTTATTAACTCTAAAAAATTGGCTTCACTCCGGTGCCCCTTCTTAAAGCTATTATGATTTCCATGAATATCTTAGAGAAAACACCCCTGCTTCTATAAGTCCATTTGCCAGCAGAGCTCAGCCCTTCTCAGCAAACTGCAATCCTCACTGTCATGCAGATGATAAGATGTTTATACATTTGAGTTTTTTTTTTTTAAGATTTTATTTATTTGAGAGAGAGTGCGAGCAAGAGAGTACGAGGAGGGGGAGCAGCAGAGGGAGAGGGAGAAGCAGACTTCCCACTGAGCAGGGAGCCCGATGCGGGGCTCGATCCCAGGACCCTGGGATCATGACCTGAGCCGAAGGCAGCCGCTTAACCGACTGAGCCACGGAGATGCCCCTATATTTGAGTTATTTTTTTAATGTTTTTGTATTTTGAGTTGAATTTGACTCTTGGCACAGCAGACTACTACTACCTATAAATCTCTCTTTTTTTTTTTTGGTATAACAAAAACAGGGAAGCATAAATACCGTATATTAACATCTTGGAAAGATATGAATGAAAGTAAAAACCAAAGGACACAAATCTGAAAGTAGGTTCAGTTCGTGACTACCATTTTCCTCACCAGTCCATTTCAAGGTTGGAACATTTCTTTGGTACTTCTAATGACTCTCAGGTTTATAGAATGGGGTCTACATACTAAACTTTATTTAATTGATTTACATGTAGGTCTGGGGGCAGCCTAGTTTAGTATAAAGAGCTTGGAGTCTCCCTCGCTCTAGGGACCTTGAGCAAGCCCAGTC